TCTGAATGGTTATGTAGTATCTTATAGTATGACTCTACCAATAGTTTATCTAACTATTCCCCCATTTTTGAGGCTGTTTAGAATACTTGCCATAAAATGTATCACTGCAATGATCACCGGTATACATGAATCTGATGATTTGTTTAACATAGATTTCAGGAAGTGGATATTACACCAAAAAGTACTAACACCTTTAAGCCTTTTACCTAATACTGAAAAATATCCGATGGAAAGGCCGTGCCAACTTTGCACTCCTCTTACCAGTGCGTGACTCTAAGCATTTCCCAGAACCCTTGAAGCAAAGCATTTCCATGAAAACTTCCTTCACAGGTGATTGTGCTGCCCATCTGTGCTGATTAATTTCTGGAAGCCTTTGTTAATGGTCATTTATTAACAATCACTGCCATTGTATCTGGGGCTTTTAATGTCTTGTTTATCTTTGTTATAATTTATGTTTCCTTTTAAAGTGTTTTCTAGAAAATAGCAAACCAGTAAAAGTGCTAATAAAACTAATTAAGGTTTACTTTCTTAGATAAAGTCAAGACAGGACAAACTCAAATGGTGAATAGACTGGATAGACGGTTGCCTGGGAAATATTTCATGAATCATTGTTTTCAAAACATCCAGAGTCAGGAAGAAGGGGCTGATGAGCTGGGATGGGCTATTATATTCCCTTTCATATATTTCTAGAAATAACTAGAATGTATTTAATGGCCCAAAATTAATAAATGATGATAAAATCTGGAGATGAGCTATTTCAGGCAAATTTGGGCCCCTGACCTAGTCATGAACCTCTCTTAAGTAGGATTAATAGTCCTTCAAAAATCCCTATGCATTTGGATATATCTGTGTATATGTCTGTCTCCCTCTGTGGCTAGCAGTTTCTTGAGATAGAAAATATGTGTTTTCATCTTTGTTTTACTGCTAAGATTGGAGAACAATATCTGTAATAGAATCATGTGGATGAACAATTACCTGATTGTTGACAGGAAAAGGACTTTTTAAATTTAATGGCAATGGAAGAAATCCCAAAGGAAATTATTGAAAGATTTGAATATATAAAAATTAAAAATGGTTCTCTACTACTCCCCTCCTCCATAAATGTCCAAACCCATAAATGAACTTAAATGACAAAACAAATAGGGGGAAATACTTTTGATAAATTTTATAACGTGAGATTTAATGCCTTAAATATATGAAGAGCTCATAAAAATCAATAAGAAAAATATCAAGAGCCCAATAATTAAATGGGCAAAAGTTGTGAATACATAATTCACCAAAAAGAAAATAGAAATGGCTAATGCATATTTAAAATGCTCAACTTCACTTTTAAAAAAATGTCCTTATTGTGGTAAAATACACATAACATAAAATTTACAGTCTTAACCATTAAGTTTACAGTTCAGTGACCAGCTCTGCTTTTAATTAAAGAAATGCAGAACAAAACAGATTCTACTTTTTATCATTAGATGGAAATTTTTTTCTTTTCTTTTTAAAGATAATAAACTTGGCAAAGGCAGAATAAATTGGAATGTATTTTGGTACAACATTTCTGGAAAACATTTTGGGAATATATATATCAGAAACATTAAAGATGCTCATACTCTTTGACACGGAAGTCTTGCTTTTAGAAATTTATCCTAAGGAAACAAGCTGAAATGTGGGTAAATAGTTAGAGTTAATTGAATGCATTTTGGTACAGCCAGACAATAGATTCCTTGCATATCCCTTAAAATGATGTTACTGGACAGTTTTTTCTAATAACTTGGCAAAATACTTACAATTTAACTGAAAAGTATTTATAAAATAGATGTTTATACAAAACATGTACATTAGACATAACAGGTATAGTAACATGAAAGATTAGAAAGAAATATATCAATCTATGAATAAGAACTATTTCTGGATAGTAGGATTACAAGTAACCTCTCCTTCATACTTCTCTTTTGTTTGAGTTTTTTGCAATGATAATATACTGCAAATATAATGTGAAGTTAACAGTAGGTGTTTATCTTAAAGAAAGTGGGTTATTAAAGTAAAGCAAGGAGTAAGTAACAGATAAGAGGAGATGCTTTTTAATGTGAGAGACATTTGAAAGCTATATGATTGGGAAAGAGTTAGTGGTGAGGAAAATGTTAAGGGTCTCAGAAGAGGCTCTCATAGGGGCTGAGGTCTGGGGGCACAGGGTTGGTGAAACCTGAAGGGCACCCCTTTCACCAAGGCTGAAGGAGGATGATGCAGACAAGTTAGTGGGAATAAAGAAGTGGAGCGATTCTTCCCTGATGACTGCTATTTTCCCTGAAGGAGAAGCAAGGGAGATTCTCTGATGGGTATCTTCGGGGAAGCTTGAGAGAAGTGTGTAGCTTTGGAATTGCCACTGGGCAGAAAAGAAGGAGCTCATGTGTTTTTCCCCTCCAATACCTGTTCCTTATTCTTATCTTGTGATCAATGATTGGTGCCAGTGATCCAAGACAGGAATCTGGAAATCATCCTCCCCATTCCTAATGATCAATAAACTTCTTATAGTTCAATCCCCTAAAGATCTCTGAAACCTATCTTCTTTCCATGTCATCTCCATCTTCTTGCTTAGATTAGTGCAATAGATGCTGAACTGGTCTCTCTAGGCTCATTTGTGTCTTCCCGCCCCCAACCCATCCACCATATGGTTGCCAGACCTATCTTTCAAAAACCTCACTAGGGATTTTATCACATCTCTATGTAAAACACTTCAAGGTCTTCAATTGCTTCAGGATAAAACCCAAATTCCACTACAGGATATACAAAGCACTTCTTGCTCTGGTTCTTGCACCCTTTCCACTTAATTTTTTTCCCATCCTTTGTCCATCCATCCATCCATCCATTCATCCATCCATTCATCCATCCATTCCATTCCAATCCATCCATTCTTCTAATCACATGTGCCAATAATGCACTAGAAATTGTAGGCTAAATGCTAGGGAAATAATATGAAAAACTCTAGGCATGGTATATGTGCAAGACAACTTACAGTCTGGTGAGGACAGTAGACATGAATAAGTGTGTAAATGTTTCAGTCATCTCCATATAAACAGGGTGCAGTGAATACACAAAGCAATGAGTGTCAGGTCTCTGAGACAGGGGTTGGACAAGTAGTTGGAATCAGAAAAAGTTTCATAGATGAATGATCTTTGAATCTTGAGAGGGTAAGGAGTTTTTTTGTTTTTTCTTTTTGATGGAGAAGTGTGTTTCAGAAGAGGCACTCATACCTGCAAAGGCATGGAGGTGTGCCACAGTGAGTGGTGTTTGCGGACCTGCATGTCTGATGGTGGAGTTCCAGGCTATACCCTGAAGGCAATGGAAAATGATCGACAGGTTTTAGACAGGAGAGGAACATAATTAAATTTGGAATTTAAAAAAATCTGGTTGCCTATACAGTGGAGGAGGGATGGAGTGTAAGATACTGGAGGCAGTGAAGCCATTTTGAAGGTTGTTATTTAGAGGACAGGTGATGAAGGACAAAGGGCTGAATGAAGGAAAGAAAGTGGGATCTTTAGAAATGCTAAGGAGGTATCATATTCTATAGCAATGTTACTCGAAGTTTGGGTCCCGAACCAGTGATAGTCTGTGGACTGTTTGTTACCAGTCTGCTATGAAGTAAACACAGAAATTGACACAGAAAGTAAGAATTTAGAGACTTTCATAGCAACTTAAAGGGGGAGTAATTTTATATCTGTTAAACTTCTAATGAAAAAATTGGACTTGTATTTTTCAGATTTTCCCTTTTTGTTTCATTTTTCTAGTGATTCGTTTTTATTGTATTTTATAAAAGTATTGGGCCATATGGGCAGGAAATACAAAGTGGATCTCATCTCAGTTGGCTGAGAAGCCCTCATCTACAGGACCCGGTGATGGAGGAATATGGGGGTGGGTGGAACAGAGGAGTGTAAGGTGACCAACTGGGTATGGTACCTATAGAAAGCTACAGAAGCAGCCATTTTTTTTTTAAAGATGGTAAATTCCCACTTCCCTATTGTTTTGGGCTACAGTCATACTTTTGGAAGTGCATTTAGGGAAACAGGTCATGATCTTTTATGCCTTTAGGTTTTTGCATGCACCATTTTCTCTACCAGTATCATTTTCTAACTCCCTTCATCACTTGGCTAATACTTAATATGAAGGCAAACACTGTAAAAGTATTTATGTATCATCAGCATTGGGCGGATGCCTTACATTCATTATTTCATTTGAGCCTCACACTAACCCTGTGAAGAAGGAGTCTAATTTTGTAGGTGAGAAAACAGAGGTTTAGAGAGGTTAGGTATCTTTCTCATGGTCAGTCAGAGAGTAAACTGGTGGAGCTGGCCTTTGAACCCAAGAAATACAATTCAAGAACACATGTACTTAGTGAAAACATATGACCTCATCAAGGCTCAACTCAGCTGTCACCTCTTCCAGGAAGTCTTCCCTGTTGTACTTATTAGGGGTGCACACAAAAAACATGAACGTCTTGTCCCCATCATAGCACTTGCCATGCCCTATTAGAGGCATTTATTCACTTGCTGCTTTACTTTTTTCCTAAACTTTGAACTACTTGAGGGATGGAAGGAGTCCTTACTTCTCTGATTCCTGAAGCTCTCCTTAAGCTGACACTGATTCCACAGTGTCCAGTAGTAAGCAGGGGCTTGGTAAATGTCTGTTGAATAAATGGATGCATAAAACTGCTGTATTATTGGTCAGATGTTAGATGAAAGAGAGGGTGTTGACTAAACCTGAACAGATAAATTGGGGTCAGATTGTAAAGAGCATGATATTCTGGGTTCAGGCAAGTAGCAGCCACAAAATCCTTTATATTTTTCCCATTCATGGACACACTTTTCAGGGCTTCAAGTCTATACTGGAGACACTAACCAGTGGTGTGCTAGTTTCACAGCTGCCTCTTTCCCTTTCACCTGCAAAAGCCCTGATTTGTGGTGTATTTTGATTTCCATGGTGTACGTGCTCCTGTCATGGCCAATTTCAAGCTACCAATGTGATGTTACTGAACACGGAAGTGGGAAGAGATGTGCAGTATCATGCCATTTAAAAATATTCCCAGCACAGAGTTACCATAGATGTAAATGACCTGAAGAGCACAGGTAATAATAAAATGTAGTAAAATAATTAGGAAGTGTTGAGTTTTGAGTGTTTATTACTGTTGTTTTAATATCCTTACTAATGAGTTTATATGAATTAATTTTTAATAATGGCTGTATTTAACAGCTGGCTTACAAAATTCCTTAAATTTTAAAAATTGGCTTTCATGAGCTGGTGTGAACTGGCTCCAGCACACCATTGTCACTAATCCCTTTACCTGTTCATTCAAGCCCAGCTCTTGGCCCAGTCTTATTCTTAGCAAGTCACTTTAAGAAGCTCTGGTCACTAGCTTTTTGAGGTAGCATTAGCTCTTTTGTTGTTTGCACTAAGCTTCATGATCCAGTTGCTGAGTACTTGAGTTTCCACCTTGCTTTGCAATAACCAACATGCCGACAGATGCCACCATCCTTGCAGAGAATGCTTTTGTCCTGAATACTAGTTTCCCTTTGATGCCTTCTCAAGTCAGCATGGATCAGGATGTACAAGTCCTACACTTACAATGGGGAACCATTAATATATATCTATATATATCTATATATCTATATATCTATATATATATTTATGGACTGCTTGCTTATACCATCACATGCTACCTTGCTTTCTATTGCTCACCTGACCCACTGCTGCTTAATATGCACCCTGGCATTGGCACTTGTTTTGATTTTAGTATGTGGCTCTTCTATTCTGCTCATCTTTTTAATTTTGTGTCTACCTTTGGACTCAAGATTCAGTATTCCTTTTGCTTCAGTAACTGATACCTGGCCTTATTCCATGATCTGATTGCAGGACTGTCTGGCTTCCTGGCTTCCTGGCTTTGGCTTAGCCAGGCAACCACAACTCAAATCCAAATGCTGTTAAGTAGCAACATGAAAAAGTGGGCTGATCTAAGCAGATATTACTATTTTATTGTTTTTAATATCTGTCAATAGTTGCAAAACCCATGGTTGCCTTACGTCTACACAATTCCTGAAGATTCAAAACTGCAGAGAATTTTGAAGGGTGCCTACATTAAAATAATGTGGCAGATGCACTAAACAAATGGCAGCTCTTTTCTAGCTGTCAGTTCAAAGAGGATTCAGAGGAGACTGAATGATCATGTGGGTCTTTTATAGATTGAGTTTCTTCTTGTGGTAGCCCATAGGAAAGACATATGGGATCAATCTAGGCTAAGCACTAGATGTTTTTGAAAAATGCTATACTTAGGCATACTCTTATACTAATTTGCTATTGAACCTAATAAAATCAAGGCTCTTCATTAAGAAGGGGGGCTAGGCATTTCTCTTAATGTTCAGTAGATAGTAACACTGGTAACCTAATATTGACACAAAACTAATGTTAATAGACTGCAGCCTTGAATATTCTTGAATGATCTGGGAATCATCTTGAGAAAAACCACAGGGGAAAAATCCTGTTAAAAAATTCATTTGCTTCTCTCAATGGAAATAAACCCTTTGGTTGCTAGTTTAGGACCCAAGCTACTGGTTGGGGGTGAAGACCTGCCCCTGCGCCTCAGGCTTCCGTGATGCTCTGCTCCTGCTTAGAGGTGACTGGGGTGGTTCCTAGAGCAGGAATAACTTCCCAAGCTTATCACTGAACAGAATGAATCCTCATTCACTCAAAGATTGGTTTTTCCACACTCCAGAAGAGTAGTTGTGTTTAATGACATGGTAACAATCTGTCCTGGAACTGAGAGTTGGTTTTCTGAAGACCATTTTCATTCTCAGATTCTTCCCATCGATGGAGAATTACCTCAAATCTTCTCCTGGGTAAGGTAGGGCTAGAAACAAATACTCCAAGAAATGAATAAATGACTGTGTGCAGTTAGAGAACCCTCCAAGTCTTTTCTTTTCAAGGAAATGATGCCAGGCAGGGCTGGCCTGGGGGCATGCAAGCCACACAGTTGCACAGTCCTGTGCTTCAAGGGGCTCCACACTTGGCTTAATGCTGTTCCTATTTTGGAATTCTTCAATTTTGAACAAGGGGATCACATTTTCAAATGGCATAGCCCCTCCTTCTAACAAAAGAGGTGGAATTAGGCTTCCAAAGAGGATTTTTTTGCCTGCGCAAATGCCCCAGAGCAACACTGAAAACATACCTTAAATTATAATTTTTATTTATCCAGCCAGGCAAGAGTAAACTGAGAACACCACAAATGGTGTAATAAACATCCAAGTTGTGTACACAGGCAACATTTATTTAGTGCTTACCACGTACCCGAGCTTGCAGACATTAACTCATTTAATCACCATTATTTCCCTATTTTACAGTTGGGGATACAAGGCACAGGAAGGATAAGAGAATCACCAAAGATCATGCAGATAAGTAAGTAACAGAGCCTAGATTTAAACCAAGGCAGTATGGCTCCAGAATGTTCTTATGTAATGCCTTTCCTTTCTACTAAAGGAAGTAATGACATTGGTTGGCTAATAGATGCTTCACAGTATTCCTGATTATTCTAGTTATTGCTGTTGAATTCAGAGAAAACTCATGAGCGAGAGCCCTTTAAAGGCGGAAGCCCATGTGCACTTGGAAGCTAATAGTGAACTGCACCATAGAACAAACACATAGTTTCCTTGGAATATCAACTATTGACTATTTTATAAAAGGGAAAGTACTAAACATATTACACTTTAGTGTCTCATAACTGGCATTTGATTTTGACTCAAAAGATTTTTAATGACAACACTAAGCTTATATGCTAGAGGAACATGTTCATCCTTGGAAACGTGCACTATATTCCTTTTGGGGGATTGAGGAGTTGGCTCATACTTGCTGGGTGTGTTACATGAGCCTATAAAGCCATTTTCAAATTAAAGTGTCTTCCCTTGACTTCAATTTTATACATCTTTGTATACACCAGACCATATTTGTTCAAATGATGGGCTCTAACATCTCATGGCTAATTTTCTAGCCTTTAGATTTGCATCTGTAGTAAGAATGATAAAAATTAACATCTATTTTGGCTGCCATAAGACTAAGAAGTACCTAGCACTTCCTAGAACATAGTTAACACTTAGTATATATGAATAATTGATTTATGAAAACCAATATAGAATAGTATAGCAGGTGGATCTTGGGGATACAGCTTCTCAGGTTCTTTAGCATAAAATAAAGTTAACAACATCTATCTCACAGTGTGTTATAAGGATTAATAAGATAATGTATAAGAAGTGCTTAGCACAGGCACTGGCATATAGTAAGTTCATACTAAATGATAGCTTCAATTATTTAATTTAATTTTTTTCCAATATAATATAGGCCTAGGTAATTTCACAGGGAAATTTGGGACCCAATATTAAACCTTTTTTTTAAAGAATATTTTCATCTTTTTTCTCATCCTATTAGAAGAATGAGATAAATACTGGGTTTTACTGTACCATGATACTTTTCTATATTAATTATGCATTAAAAAATATACTTCGGAAAGTTGGTCTTTTTCCAAAGGTCCTTTTATAAAGGGCTATTAAAACAATGCATAAAAGAAATAATGTTCATTCATTATTAATACCTTGTAACAGTGATTACCTCAGCTTAGTCTGGCCATTGATCAGCCCTCGGAGCCCTCCCTTCAACCGGAGCTCAGGGAGTGGACGATGGGGGCAGGCACGGAACACATCTTCTCCTGTGGCCTCCAGATCCTGCTCCACCAGTGAGGCCCTCTTTCTGCTGCAACTTCCAGTTCTCTTCCACTGGCCCCTTTACCTCTGCCCACTAGTATGTTTGGGTCATTTCTACCTTACAAACTAGAAACAAAATAATTTTTCCCTCACACTTGCTTCGTTGAAGTAGTGTTTCATCTTTCCCTTTTCTTTGATGGTTGTACTTCTGCTAAAAGTGGTCTTCACTTCCTTTTCCTAACATCTTCCACTCTGCTCCCTTGTCTTACCTGTATGATTTTCCAAAAACTCTTATTTTGAAGACATTGAGAACCTCCTCCTCATCAAGGCATTTGACCTTTTCTTAGTATTCATTCTTTTTGACCTGCCTGAAATGTGTGATACTGTTGAAATTTTGAGAATTTCTTACAGTCTGGGACATTGCTCAGACTCTTCTTGACATTTATTGGTGTTTTGGTTTACGCAGAGAAAATGGCAATGTGGCCAACTTTGCAGAATGTTGGGAGGATAAAGCGAGGTGTGATTGTTAACATGTATATAGCAATCAGTAAGATTCACTTGGCAATCTCATTTACCTCCAAGACTGTAAGTCTCACACTACCCAGATGACTCATATATCTGAATTTTTGTTTTGACCTTTCTTTAGATGTTCATTCTTCCTTTTCAATATCTGTTTCTACCTGGAATAATAAAACCATGTGCGTTTAGAGCTAAAGGAGTTCTTAGACCACTCTAAATTTACAATGAGGGAAATGGTCTGGAGATTGAATTGATTTGGGCCATGGGTGCTGGGTCAGTAAGGATGGTTTTAGCCTCAAACAAGAGAAATCCCAGTGTAATTGGTTTAAATGTGTGATCTTCCATAACAAGAAGTACAAGAGTCTGGCATGCCAGGGCCAGTTAATGTAGCAGTCCAATGATAACACCAAGGGCCCAGTTTCTCTCTCTGCTGTCTCTGCTGTCCCGAGCATGTTGGCCTGTGCATGAGCCAGCTCCTGGTGATTAGATGGCTGCACAGTTCTTAGTGTTCCATTCAGACCTGAGAATGACTACTGAAAGGAGAGACCATCTCTCCAAGCACGGCTCTTCTTAAGAGTGAGTATTCACTACCCAGAAGCACACAGCTGACTTCCTTTTATGCCTCACAGGCCTGACTTGTGACATGCCCTGGGAATGGGACACCTGACTGGCTTAGACCAATCAGAATTTACTCTCTGAGGCTGCATTGAGTCTTTTCTGAAGCACATGGTACTTCCAAGTTGAGGAGATGTGGAAACTAAATCTGATTTCCTTTAAATTAGAAAAGAAGAATGTGCAGTTGGAAATGAATGCTGGATGGAGTCCAACAGTGTCTGTTACTGACTTACAGTGAGTTAGTGGCAGTGTTACAGAATTTAGGTTTCCTCATCACCACTCAACTCTCTTTCAATAATTCTTAGTGCCTTTCAACATTTGAACCAGACTCAACACGTCAACTCAAAGGTAATCTGATTACCTTTCTACCCATACTTGCCCCACATCATATTTGCCTGTGTCCTGACCATTTTCTTCTAAGGTATGTTACCATTTTCTTAACTATTTAACCATCATTGATTTCCTTTTCTCCCTTGTTCTCCACAATTCACTCCCCAAGTCTTATTTAATTAATTGCTTTATTAAAAAATCATCCTTTTCTTTCCAATATTGCCATTATCTCTAGGTCACATCTTTATTATATATGAATTGGCTTATTATAAAAGTGTTGAAACTGATCTTCATGACTATCCAACTCTCATTTAGTCTTTAAATTACTTGCATATTCGTTTTCCTAAAGCATTCTTCTTACCTTTGGAGAAACTTCTTTAGATGGGTGCCCAGTGAAACTAAGCTGTAATAGTTTTCTAAAGGTAGGAAAAATTGTTATTTCAAAGTTGTCAGTAAGTTCTATTCCTAGTGTTAGAATTTATAAAGTTCCTTGGGGGCAGCTATCCTTTTACCTGAGAAGTATTTCTAGAATGCCTCCTTTATAGGTAGATGTAAGGCCAATAGATACCACTGTTTAGAGCAAAATGTGTAACAGAATTTTTATTTAATGTTGACAAATATCGCTCTTGTGGGAGTTGCCAAAAAAAAGGTATATTTGCATAAGGTACAAGGAGCTTTCTAGGAAGTAGTGGCTATAAGTATGACACTTTCCCTTTGAAGTTTAGGATTATTAGAAAAATAATCTTAGATGGATTAAAACGAGACATAACTGAGCCTATTTGGCAGAAATGTCAAGTACTTTTGAGGAGGAACACACAATAAAGGAAAGGAAACCTGTAGTGGTGACCAGGGCTGTGTGCCTTACACACATACGCTAATTACACTGGGATTGGGGAGGTGGTTCCTGGATGGACTGAGCTTAGTGGGGAAGCTTTAAAAACAAGTGCTGTGTGTATACATGTGCTAGAGACTGAAGTCATGGAACGGCTGGTTGAAGAGTCCAGTACGGAACTGACCTGGGGTTTCCATTGGTCTGTACTGAAGGAGAGCCATCACCACTTGCGCTCAGGAAATTCTTGTACAGTGGTAGTAGCAATGAGTCATGCTGCTCTTTGGGGGGGACTCAGCTTTTTGGGGGAACTCTGGGAGTTTGGAGTCACAATTTTCTTGTAATGAAGAAAAAAGTTACAAAGGCAAACATAGAAAGAAGTAAAACCCTCTTTATTTGCAGATAACATGACTATTTATGTAGAAAATCCTATGCAATCTCCAAGAACTCTTAGAACTAATAAGAGTCTTTAGCAAGATTGTAGATAAAAGATCATATACAAAAATCAGTTGTATTTCAATGAACTAGCCATGAACAATCAGACCTTGAAATAAAATCATTTAAAACAACATAAAAATATGAAACATTTGGGAATTAATTTGAGAAAAGATGTGAAAAACCTGTACATGGAAAACTACAAATCTTTATGGACAGAAATTAAGGAAGACCAAAAGAGAAAGATAAAATTGTGTTCACAGATTGCAAGACTCAATATGGTTAAGATAGTGGTCTCCCTAAATTAATACATAGATTCAACACAATCCCAAAGAAAATCCTAGCAAGTTTTTTTTTTTTGGCAGAAGCTGATCAGTGATTCTAAAATTTATATGGAAATGTGAAGGATCTTGAATAGCTTAAACAATTTGAAATAAGAGAACAAACTTGGAAGATTTATACTGTATGACTATACTACAAGGCTTATTATAACATGACAGTAATCAAGACAGTGTAGTACTAGCATCAAGGTAGATGAATCAATGGAATAGAATAGAGTCCAGAAATAGACATAGTCAATTGATTTTTGACAAGGATATAAAGAGAATTCAGTTAAAAAGGGTATTTTTTGGGACTCTCTTGTCCCTTCCTTGCGTGAGCCGGGAGCTTTATTCTCTCACTTTATCTCTAAATAAAAGCCTGTACCTTGCTCTCTTAAAAAAAAAAAAGGAAATTTTTTAAAAAAAAAAAAAAAAAAAAAATTAAAAATAAAAAAAAAAAAAAAAAAAGCCCATAAAAACAAAAAACTGCAGTCCATAACTTGCACTATATACAAAAAAAGTAACTCAAAATGTATCATCGACCTGAATGTAAAACTAACAAACAGGAAGAAAACATAGAGCAAATCTTATGACCTTGAATTCAGCCAAGACTTCTTAGATGTAATCTTAAAAGCACAGTCTATAAGAAAAATGGGT